TGGGTCCTACTCTTGCTCAGGCTGGTCTAGAACTGAACTCAAGTGATCCTCCTGCCTTGGCCTCCCGAGTGCTAGGATTACAGGCGTGAGTCACCACGCCCCACCTGATTTTTTTTATTAGTTGTCATTTTACTCTCTGGTCTTGCTCACTAACTTAGTTTGGTTGCCATTAGATTTCTCTCTCAAGCCCAAAATATATTTCATTTAATAAATCTCCTTAATTTTATTGTCACTAGCATTTCCCGGAATCGAAATACATACCCCTGGTATGCAGGTTTGTATTTCTCTCCATACATATCATATACCCATCTACCCATCCGATCACTCACCCACCCAGCAACCTGCACGAGCTACAGAGAGCTGGCAGCACGTGGACATCAGCTGTAATTCATGCTAGATTCCTTTGTAGCACACGTGTGTCTCCAGCAAGAAAATGGATCTAAGTGTGCACATCAAGGTGTAAAACATGTTTTTCCAGAGGTTTATTACAATTTTTGGCCAAACTGAGTTATGTAAGCTAGTAGTCATGTCTGTTACTGTTTTTCTCAATCCTGGGAGATTTCACTCTAGGTTGCTCAAACGTCATTCCCTTGGTTAGACTTGTCCCCAAGGACTGATTTTCACTCTCATATCTTACCACTCTTTTCTTTGTAGTATTTTCCAGATATACATAAATAAACATTGGCAGAATTATTTATTTAATGTTTAACATACTGCCAGATTTTTAAGCACACTGGGGCAAAGACCATGTCTGTTTTAATTTACATCCCAACACCCAGCATGGTGCTTGGTATATAGGAAGTTGTCAATAAAAGTTTGTTGCATTGGTGAGTGGATGGGGTTCAACTCCCTTTTTACAGGTGCCAAATTACTGTAAAAAATTGAAGCTATGTGTCATTACTGCATTTTTTCTGGTGTTCAGTGTATTTGAGTAAATAGAAAATAGCTTTTCCTTTAGAGCTACAGATTTACAGGAAGAAAACAATTCAGCAATTCAAATGTGCAAAGTGCTCTGCAAATGTTTAACTCCAACTTGGAAAGCGTGTCGGCACGGGTCATGGCAGTGATTTAAAGTGAGATAAAGATCTGCGAGTCAATATTGACAGGGTACTTTTCAGCACCGTCTTACTATTAATTCTCAGGAAAAAAAAATGCTTTAATCAATGCATGTATTGACTACTTATCATGTATGAGGCATGCAACAGGGCTTTACAATGTGTGTCAAAAGGCCTCATGCTTCAAACTAATTATAATCTCATTAAGGAATAACAGGAATGCATGGAAAATCTAAAGTAAATGGTATGTGTAAGAGAAAATGACTGGCATTTCAGACATTCAGAGAAGGACCAACGACAGAAGTCTTCATGGAAACACAGACTGGAGTGGGTCTGCTCTGTTTAGAAAGGCAGAAGAGCAAGACAAGCTATTTAGATGAAAAGAAGCATGTGGGAAAAGATATGGAGAAACAGAAAGCCAAAAGCTGTTCAGGGACATGAGTAAGAACAATTTGGCTAAGACAAAGGGTTCTCCCAGAGAGAAGCGGATCGAGAGGTCACAAGGGTAGGTTGAGTCATATAGCAGAATTATAAATAAGAAACCAGGAAAGAGGGGAAGTTCCTGCCAGCCCCGGCGCAGCCCTGCGCTGCTAACATGTGGCAGAAAAACAACAACAACACGAAATATTCGATGATGGTATCTGACTATTGCACAACATTTTGTTTCGAAGCAATTTTGTGCATTATTCACAAAAGAACATTTTTTTTCCTTATTTTATAGAGATGTCACCACATGTCCAATAAATTTCAATGAGTTAGTTGTTTAATGGCAGCGCTGTGATTGCAGCCGGCGTTTTCTGCTCTGGCACCCTGCCCTGGCAGTTGTCAGCGGGGAAGCAGAAGAGGCAGGCAGGAGAAGGCGTGGGAGCAGGCTGGAGAGGACCCGGTCTGCACGCACTCCTGTGCACGCTTAGGGGGCACGCTTAGCCCCCTAACTCTGTGAAAGCTATTAACTCAGACAAGCATGAACACTCATCAGAACTACCGGACATTTAAATATGAGTCTGATCACAACTCTTACTGGTTCTACGATGGCGGAACACACCTATGTTTCCTCTTATTCCATTTTGCAAGAGAGGACGATTGCTGTCATCGTCTACGGAGACTTCAGACTCAAGCCATGCTTTAGTTATTAGATTACAATTCCGGAGTCCTTCACAATCATCTGTTTCTAAGCATTAAAGGGTTAACTCACAGAATGTTCGCAGATATTTTTTCACTGATTGTATTTTGAAGGTGCCCGCAACCCAATTTTACTGAGCTGCTTTAAAAAATCCTAGTTAACATTAATTTCATTCAAATACAGTAATCCTCACTTTAGCAGTGAATAATTGACTCCCACTCCCACATAATACATACACTGTTAGCATAATAGCTTTAAAAGTGCTTCAGAAATTTTACAGAAAATTCTTTTGAAATTATGCTCAAACTGAAGAATACATCTTTTTTCTCCCTATCAGTTTATCTTTTTCTCTAAGGAAGATTTTCTCTTTTATGAAAAGGTTCCCAAAATGAAATGCTTCTATCTCCTTCCGGAGAGATTGTCATCTACCCCAAAGGCAAGGGAACACGGCGAAAGAACTAGAAAATGTCGAGGACAGTGATGCGCCGGTGTGTGTATGTGTGTTTTTTTTTAAGGTTTCAACCTTGTTAAATGAGAACTATACAGAAACAAGCAATACATATCTTGTATGAGATACAGCTATTGGTCCCAAGCAAAACTGCATTGCCTAGAATTATAATGTATGAAAGAGTCCAGGTCTGATTTTATGGAGTAAAATCCCAATTTTCTTGCATTTTTTTTGTTGTTTTGGTTTTTTTCTTTAATTATTAGAAAACATGTAAGTATAGTAAGTCCTACTTAGCAGTCAGTCTCTGGCAAGAAAATGACTTTTTTGACTCCTTTCTTAGGTTTAATAGAAAAAAATTTTTAATGCTATAGAATAAAAACTTGTGTTCAAATTTTACGTACTTTTGGTAAATTAGAGAATCATGGTGGGACATGCAGTAGGACCTACTGGGTCCGGGCAGGGACCTCAGGGACGTCTCAGCTGCAAGATAGAGAATCTCCATCCAATCAAAGTTAGCTTTTATCAGTTTCACACAAGAAATATTTGCCGGTTGAAAAAAAAAAAATCACTGGCCTTGACTTTATTTTTTCCCCTTTTTCTAATCAAACATTAACCATTCCTTAATATTCAGATCATATTTTATCTGCAGGCCTTCTCTGACCATTCTAGAAAATTACCCCTTGCCAAATGTGTTTAGTGTTTAGAGCTCTCTTAGTTTATAACTAATCACACTGGGTTATATATTTTTATTAAATCACCCCAGTGTCTTACTTTGTCAACTGCCTTATAAGAACGTGGCATGAGATCACATGTTTTATTGACTTTGCATTCTCCTTGCCGCGGACTACTGAGGGTGACACCTCTTTTCTAGGAGCCGTCCCCGGCCACCCCGCCCTACGGCTGTGACGGAAACTGTGCTGTGCCCACTGACAGCTCCCCGCTAGGGGAGTCCCCGCCACAGCGAAAACGGCAATGCCAATGGCCGTGTGGCTGCTGCACACTCCGCACACGCCACTCTCCGGGCTACATGGGAGGGCTGGAGAGTCCTGTGTCCCGCCTCTGGGACACAGTGCACGTGTGTGGACGGAAGCAAGCGCAGGATGAGGTGTGTGACAGCACTGTGGTCCCTCGTGGGGCAGGGCCCCGACAGCCGCAGTGTGTGGGGGGCAGGGTCCCGCCCTGAGCCGCAGGGGCTGGGACAATGGAGGCATGAGGGAAACAGAGGCGATGGGCCGGGAAGGACTGAGGACACCGAGTAGGTGCTTGGGAACACAGGTGGCCAAGGGCCATTGTGGGCATGCTGGATGCCAGGCGCAGGCCAAGCAGACACCTGTCACCACTCGTGCATGCCGGGCATGGCCCTGACGCCAGGAGTGCTCACCCCGCCGGACACGAGCTGCCCTTTGCTGACTCTCCTGGCTGTACTTGACCTTGTACGTGTCATCTGATCGCCCTTCCTCTTTATGTCCCCACCCCTCTGACTCTCAGAAGCCACGCTGCCCGCATGTATCACCCGGAGCAGCGCTGCCCAGAGTTGATGCTGTCTCACATTTTACGCTCCATTCTGACGCCTATACACACTTCACATTATTTCCAAATAAAGGGATGATCTTTATGAAAGAAAGTAACAATGCGGCCTCTGCGCTTCCTTTTCCTACAGTAAGTAAATAATGCCCTCTTGGTGTCTGTTTGTGTTTGTTCTTTCAGACACACGGGATGGGGTTTCAGACAGGAAGCGCAGGACGCTGGACCTGAGTGCCTTTGAGCCCAGTTCATTACCTCCCAGCTGGTGACCGTGGGCACCGCCACTGACCACAGGGGACTCTCTCTGCATATTAAAAAAGGGGGGAGGGTGAAGTGGCTGATAATATTTGCCTTGAAATTTACTTTATTATTTTTTTTAAAGAAATGAACAGGTGCGTGTCTGGCACAGGGCTGATTCAGGGTAGGTGCTTAGTAAATGCAATTTGAATTTGAATGTCAAGCTACACCTTTTTATTTTTTTGCTTATTTTCTTGCTATTTTCCATGCACAATCACACTATTCTTATTTAAATCCATGTCCCTTTTAAGAGACATGGTTTTGGATTACTTCCAATTATTGTTTCTTTTAAAGTCTATCCACCAGAGCAGTGCTGTCAACCCCACTATATATTAAAATGTCCTAGAAAACATTTGAAAAATAACAGTGTCTGGGTCCAACTTCTGACCAACTGACTCTGTATCTCTGAGGATAAACACAAAATGCGCATCAAACAATAACTGAAAAAGTAAGAGAAAAAAAGAATGGTTAAGAATACTTAAGACCAAACTAAAATAAAACACCTTGAGCATACATAATATATAAAACTGCATGAAGGATTAAAAACATTTACCTTTGTTATTGTACACATCTAAGTAATTTGGTGCCGAAAAAATTGTAATTAGAGAAGGGAAGCCTGTGGTTTGGCTTTTCCTGTACATGCGATACCTAGAAACAACAAACACAAGTCAAAACCAGGCTAGAATAGAAAAAAAAAGTCAAATTATAGACTTAGAAATAGAAAATTAATGAGCTAAGTTCTATCATTCAAAGAAATCCAATGACATAACAGTAAATAAAAAATTCTAAAGTGTGTTACACAGGGGCATCAATCTTTTTCAGAGGTGTCATGAAAGTATACAGTTGGATTTGCAATTTCCAAATAGGTATTTTTGAAGTTAGCAAACCTCATGGGAGAGTGGAATTCAGTGGAAAACCATAATTCATACCGATGTGTTCACAGAGAGGACAAATGCTAAGATGCCCTGCACCTACCATAGTTTTCAGCTAATACTTTTGACATAAAAACACCAAGTAAGCAGAGCAATATATAAAGACTTCCCACTAATAACCATGCCCATGATTCTATAAATCTACAATAATTCTGTAAAGGTTACATATAGGCATTTAGCCTACATTAAGTGATGTTGTTTTAAAAGAATATTTCCTTAAATCTATGAATCTACAAATTGAGACCATCTCTGTTTTAGAGTTTTATTTATTACCAATCTCTGCTTGTGTCTACAGGTCAATGACTATTGCCTCCTTCAGAACACAGGCATCTGTATTTCCAATTTCAGCACACTGGTTAAAGAAAAGTATTCCTACTTTCCAAAAAACCCAGAGTAGGAAGGGATGAGTTTAATCATTTAAAGGCAAGCAATGTCTATCAGTGGACCCTACTGCGAATGGGTATTGGACCTCAAATCTTGAAATTAATTATACTGATTTCTCCCTAATGCAGATGTAATACATCATTAAAAGTGACTATGTGATGTTTCTTAGTTTTCTAAACACTTAAAATTGGTCTACAACTCAAAAATTTACCGGACAACACAAAATCCATTTTATGCAACCATTTGGCAGTCAGATCATAAGATATCCCCCTTTTTAAAATGTCCCCATTTTTTCCTTTAAAACTTTAAAGGGATCAGGAATGGCATTCTTTACAACCAGAGTACGATGTGCAGTGTCTGTTACATGTGTAAGTGTAACTCTCATTCTCATTCCCAATCAAGACTGAGAAGCAGCTGGTAATGTGCTCACTCCCAGGGAGGTGGGAAACAAACGCAGGAATTGAGAGAAATAAAAGGTGGTGTCCCGTACAATGTTTAGGAAAATAAGCTGAACCTTGGCTTGTTCGAGTGGATTGCAATGCATCTGCAGCCACTCATCCCTGTGTCGTTCCTGCGTCACCCATCAGAAGGCAATTTTAAAATCTAGCTTAAATCTATGAATTTAAGACTCCTTGTGGGAGTGAGCCCGGACAAAGGGACCCCCCAGGCTGAGTGCCGCGGGCAGATCCGACAAGGGCAAAGCACAGTTTCCACGAACCCCAAACCACTCACCCTGCGTCTTGGGCTTCGTGGGCTCGGAGTATGGATAACAAGTTATTGTGCTGTAAGAACTCACATACAGCCGGGTAACTGTCAGAGACAAAAAGAAAAGAGAAGCATCGTATTATGAAATCACCAGCAGTAGCACATTCATCTCTAGCATCCAGATCTATGTGGTTCGATCAAGTATAATCACAAATTCATCATTCACGAAACAAGCTACCTGGCTGTCAGGCTGTTCCCTGTGGCAGAGAGAGCGCTACAGTTATACTTTTGACATAATCAGAAAGTAGTTGAGGCGTGTGAATTGGGAAAAAAGAAACACACAGGCCATTATATAACAACACCAGACAAGTGTCCACTCTCAGAGAAAATCAATTTTTACAAGCCCACATTTACACACAAAGTAAACAGAAGCATAAATATAACATGAGGATGAGTCTAAAATGCAGACTTCAATTTGCAGAAGTATCCACCGTTCATATCTGCGTGTGTGCATGTGTGTGCGTGTGCGTGTGTGTGTGTGTGTGTGCGTGTGTGTGTGTGTGTGTGTGTGAGTGTCACAGCTACGGATGAGTCAGCAATGGAAGAAAAGCATACTGAGGAGTTACACTACCATTACCTAACATCACGGGTACAATCAAGCTGACTACATCATTCAAAATCTAAACAAAATTATGGATATTCACAAAGTTTTAAAATTTATAGCATAAATATAATTAGCAGTACTGTATCTTAAGACTTATTTATCTCGACTTAATAAAACATCTAATATACAATTATTATGTTTACCTTTTAAGAAAGCCTCAAAGAACTTCCTTATAAATTAAATTCAAATTACAAATTAAACTTGGAAAACTCTTTACAGTCATTATTACAGTCTCTGCTCTAAGAATTTTTTAACCACTTTGGGACCAGCAGCAACTTTAGCCGACAGCCATGATATGACTTTTCTAATTTTTAATTTATCAAAATAAAGTTGTGAACATTTAAAAATAGCATAATGAAAACATATATGTATATGTTACCTATTCTGATTGACATTACAGGTAAAGCTGCCTGTAAAGTAAAACAAGCTTTCAAGCTTTCCTCATCACACGAGAGCAAAACGGACGTGTCGTCGATGCGCAGCACAAGCCGCCGTGCGGGCTGTGAGTGCCGGTGCGGGCCAGGTGTCGCGGCCGGTGAGCGCCGGACCGAAGCGGCTAACGAGATGAATGTCAGGGAACAGCCAACCAATAATTATAAATGAACTGCAAAATATTCACTGGAACCCAAACTACATACCCCATAGGAAATATCCCACAATTATAAAAATACCACTATGGGAAAATATTTTAGTAGTATATGTCACTAAAATAATTTATTATAAAAGTGAAGATGAATAGACTCCATGCTATAAGTTTGGTACAAATTCCCCGATGAACGGGGAAAAAACATTACCAAGATGGCATATAGTTATAGACATGGTGATTGTGAAAAGGATCGTTACTTGGCAAAAATAGACCTGAAACTGAAAAGTCTTCATGAGTATGCACGTGTGTGTGTGTGTGTGTGTGTGTGTGTGTGTGTGTGTGTGTGTGTGTGTTTTGTAAGAGAGGAGATGCCCATGACAAAAGGAGGAGATCACCATGAGTCCTCTACCGCCTAGTTGCTCCAGGTCAATCAATAAACAAACTGTCGGACTGACGCACGTGGTGTTTCTTACAAACCGGAGGTGGCGGCCAGCGTCTCTCCGTGGCCACATGCCATACAGTCCCTAGGGTCAGCAGGGACCAACGTGTCTTCCGACGCCTCTGTTCCAGTTAAAGAAAAGGTGATATATAACCTTTCCAGCTCAGTGTGTGTCAAGGAAAAAAAACAAAACTCAAAGAACAAACATTTTTACTTTGGAGACACTGGTTGATCTTCTAAAAAATAGATTTCTTTGGACATATCTAACTATAAAATGCCCAACCAGTGGGTGGCACAGAGTAGGTTCCCAATAAACGTTCCTTCCCCGTCTCTTTGAGCCCCTTTCTTGCATATCTTGTGCCTTCATGATCCTCTTTATAAACGACAGTTTGTCGCCGTGTTACCACCGTCACAGAAGCTGCTTGTCTAGGTTTGTCACTTTTTTGCTCGTAGGCAAGTGGCGTGGCCACTTTTCTCTCCCTCCCCTCTTTTGAAACAACTTACCCTAGTCTTCTGAAAGTATTACTTTAAAATATTTTCTTCATGCTAAATTTGATACCCTGTGTGTTTAGGCTAAGTTCTTCCCAATGGAAATACATACATCTAATTTTTAATGGAAATTTTTTTTTAAAATAAAATTAACCAAGTAGCAATTTGCTAGGTTAACAGCAATAAGTGAGATCTACTTGTATTATTTGCTCGAAGGGAAATAATTTTGAAGCAAAACTTCAGAAGTGCAAAAACATGCATAATCAAATACTCAGCCTTTCGAAGAATTACAAACATTTTCCTAAGAAATTTGGAAAATACTTGAATATCATCTAAATTCCTATTATTGGTGAACTACCTGCCTAGCACGCATTAAAGTTTTTAATAGTATTACAAAAAACTCAAAAATTCTACGTTTTTATGCTTTTTAACGGGAATGATCATAAACTACAAAATGTTCAAGCTGAAAAGCATTTTATTTACACACACACACACACAGAATAGCAGGAAAAAGCAGCGTTCTGAACACCTTAATACCATAGAGAATTGAAAAATTACTTATTCCCCCCAAATTTCTCAGAGATCCAGTTATGATTTGTTCCATTTTTCAAAGACAGTATTAACTACAGGGTATGGTGGGTATGATAAATGCAAGCCATGGTTTTTTTCCTGAGGGTATTTATTATCTGGGTAGGAACACAGAATATTATAAGAAATATTCTTTTAAAAAATTGAAGTATAAAGTGCATTAAAGATAAAACAGTAAAAGTTTTAAAGGGACATTATAAAGCAAGAAAGAACGAATTTAGGTCTGAAATTAATCAGGGAAATCTTGAAAAATACTTATCTTGCATTAGATCTTAAAGGAAATGAGGTATGTGGATCAATCGATAGGAAAGGGATTAGAATTCTCTCCAGAAAGCATGAGGGATGGATGAGAAGCAGATTGAGCATGAACAAAGATAAGAAAGGTAGAAAAGACAAAGATGTACAAAATACTAGAAAAACTAGCTCGGCACTACAGCAAATGGTTACTATTAGATTCGTTCTGTTTAATTCTCTTATTTTGTTTCTATAGCATATTAAAGTCTATTTCAGACCCTGAATTTAATCTCTCAGACTGAAGACTCTTTAACCACGATTTAGCCAGCAGGCATTATTAAAATGCTTTTTTAATGCTTTTATGACCTTATGGATACTTTCCCTGTGTACTTTTTCTCCTTGGGAAGGCCCGCTCTTCCGCCAAGTCTTAGCTAGATCATCACCCGGAGCCTTCCTTTCAAGCCTGCCTCACCCTCGGTGTACAGAATTGCTGCACCCGCCATGCACACATGTGCATCCTTTAACACACGCATGTAGTATGTCACCTGTCACAGTGTAAATCAAGATCACTCATTTGCTCTCCAGCGTTAGCGAACGCCTTAAGAGAGGAACTCTGCTTTCTGTCTTTGTTCTCACGTCCTGAACGCTGAGCCGCAGTCTGGCAGCTCGTGTCGCTGAAGCAGACCCAGGGGGGCACCGCGCAGGGGGGAGAGCAGAGGGCCCCTTCCCATGTCAGAGCAGAGGCAGGTGGCCTGCGACCCCTGCTGTCGCGGGGGGCAGCCTCCAGCTCTGGGCGTCCCTACCCTCTCCAGCCCAGCGGCAGGAGGCCCTGCCGACTGTCCAACTCCCCCTCGGCTTCCTGGGCACCTGGCCATGGGTGTGCAGCCCTGGGGTACCCTGGGGTCGCCTGAAGCCTCGGGCCTGTGTTTTCCCAGGACTTGCTGTGTTTCCTCTTGGCCCCCGCATTCTGCAACTAGTTTGATTTTTACCCTATGGCGATGGAGTCCTAAGGGGCCCTAACTCTTCCAGCCAGAACTTTTCCAGAGCTTAAATCCTCAGTTGCACCTGGCTGCCGTCTGCCTCAGGAGCGGCAAGTGGTTTTCATTTAAGGCAAAGGTTTTATTAAAGTAAAACATCTAAACAGAAAAGGGTACAGATCAGAAGATAACAACTTGATGGTAACACCCTTGTAATCTGCACTCAACTAAAGACAGAACATCACCTGAACCCAGGAACTCCTCGTGTCTCCTCCACTGCCCCTCCTCACTGAGGCAGCCACTAGCATTGAACGATGGGTTTTCTCTGATGCTGAGCTCTTACTTCCATAGACTCGTGGCACGCACTGTTTGCTACCTGGCTTCTTCCACCTGCCATTACACTCGGGACATCCGTCCATGTTGTTGTGTGCAGTTTTGGTTAGCTCATTCTCATTTGCTGTATTTAGCTATATAAATATACTAAATTTACTATTCCTTCTACTAACTGGATATTTGGGCTATTTCCATTCCTTAGTTACTATGATTACTGCTGTTATAAACAATCTTGTACATATCTTTTGGTGCACATATGTACACAATTTCTACCGGATATAAAAGCAGAAGTAGAACAGCTTAGTTACATTAAAGTTCAGTTTTAATACATACTAAAGCAGCTAAATGTGATCCGGGAGTGGGAGGACAGCAAGGCCATTCAGGTGGCATCTTGCAGAATTTCTAAAGTGTCCCCTCCCTCATATTTTCATGAACGACACTTTCCCTGACTGCAAGAGCCTCTTCCCCAGTGATTCTGGTTGGATGTTTCACTAACCGTTTAAAACTCAGGTCTGAGAACACCTTTACCACGAGCAGTCCCTTAAGTCTCAATCCATCCCTTTTTTGGGTTAGGACCCCTGGACTGTGTGTGTGTGTGTGTGTGTGTGTGTGTGTGTGTGTGTAACAGTGTGCTCATTTATCACAGCACCCTTCACCTTGCATTTTACTCGCCTGTGTCCACTTGTTGGTCTCTACTACTAGACTGTCACTGCCTTGGAAGCAGGGACTCTGAGCATCTACAAAACTTAGCAGACGGCATCTAAATAGGTGCTCAGCTAATGGGTGTTGAATAAT